ATCACACAGACATGCTGGCTGCCCTTGCAACTGCCGCAAGACAAACCCAGAAGTTTGAAGGATGAAGTGTGAAGGCCCCAGTAATTTCAATGTGACCACAAGCAGCTTCCATGGAAAACAAGAAAGCACAAAGCCTCACTTTAAGGGGAACCCCCCCATATTTATTCATTTATATATTTATAGAGGTGTACCATAGCTTGTGCTGAAGTTGTCACAATTTAATAAATCAGTGTGGAATTCTGCAGCAAATAACAAATAGCTTGCTCATAGAGGCCATACTTTTGTCAATGGTCTCAACTGGTTGAAGGCTGTGTCTTGCATTTGCTTTCACTCTCAAATCTTTGAGAATGCTTTTTATAGAAGTTTGATAGTCAGATATCAAGATCGTTTCAAATCAGTATCAAGGATGATGGAGGTTTTGAGACGTCTGCTATCAATTGTCACTATTGACAAACAAGGGTAGGAATTTAAATATAAAGTACTTGGCACAACTTCCTACTTTAGTTCTGTGGAGTTGGTTTAAAAATGCTGTCTTTGATGTAAATCAAATGGAGGAAGATTTGCAGTCAGCATAACAAAGCCAAAATGGGTCTGCAAAACTAAAGCACCACATATACTTACTCTTCCTCCTGTTTCTAAATTCTCTTTAGTTCAGATATTTCCAATGTATTTTCAGTGTTTCAGTATTGCTGCATTAATGATGTGTTCCTGTGGAGTGGATGGAAATGATACAATGTAGGTTGCAAAAATATGTGCTTCAAGAAATACAAACACAAAACCAAATAAAAGGGTTGGGTGAAGATGTGCATCCATTCACTGTTTGGCACTGAAATCCTGCATTTCTGTTCAAAGAGATGCATTTCTATTTTGTGGTTTCAAGCACCTACTTGATTTTTCTAGATTCAGTATTTATGCACATCCTGAGGTTCAGACTGGTGAAGTCTGACTCCTATTTTGAGGCAAAAACGGCCAATTGCATTGTGGGAAAGAGAGCTCTTCAAAGGTTTATCAATTAATTCCTTCCATTACAGGAGCAGAGGGAGAAAATGCAAAAATCAAATAAATTCAAATATGTTTAAAAAGACCAATAATAGTCTAAAGGAATGACATGGAAAAGGCAGGAGGAACTTCGGAAGTATATAGGACACTGTTAGCTTTTCCTTTCAGCTTCCAAGCTCCGCAGTGATGCTGCAGAGGGTGTTGCAGGAATGTCTTCAATCCATGGCAGCCAAAAGGTCTGGAAGATGCACCAGCAGCTTCCCCTTTGCCTCTGGCAACAGGCATTGAATCTTTGTGGCCCTGGCCATAGAGTTCAGTGGGATCAGTGAATTTCTGCAGAGGCTGTGCAGTGGGAAGTGCTCCCTCAGGATTGCAGAGGAGCAGGAGCTCACTTCTCTGCAGATGCCACATAGATATTGGTCATGGCATCCATGTCTTCAACCCTGTGATGGGCTGGAAGATTAGCCGAGTTGGAGATATGCTTGTGAGGATCTGTCTGTGCTATCCTTTTACTTGACAAGTTTATAGACCCCAAAATATGGTGGAAGATGTACCCACAGAGAAGGGATTTTATTTTTATTCACAGCACAGGGTGGAAAAGGGCTCTATTTGTAGATCTCCTCTGCACATGTAAGGAACAAGTCCTGGGATTGATTTAATCCAGATTTAGCCTTGAAACAAGAAAAGCTAAATGTGCAAGATGGCTGAAATTCAGGATATCAAGTGTGTTCAGTGAAAAAAAAATCATTGAAGTCAAATGTATTGCTGAATACCACCTTAAGTAGCTTTGCTGTCTCCATCCATTGTTTTTTTACTGTCAAGAAAAGGATTAGAAATTGTAAAAGTGACAAAGAAGGCAAAAGAAGGTGTTGCTTTTAAGAACTTTGATTTACTCAATTTCGCTTAAAAACATTAAGCTGTACAAGTATACTTTGAAAAAAGGATGTCTGTCTTTCAAGATCTTGAATGAGAAAACCTTCAGGTTTGTATCAGGCAGAGCTTACAGATTTTTTTTTAGGTGCAAGTTTAAAAACAGACACCTTTTTTAAAAGAGATTTTAGGGTTCTTTCTTTGTAACTTGACAGGATGGTTTGTTCATGTCAATAGTCTTTTGATCGCTCAAAAGAAATTGAAATAAAAAATGTCAATGCTTCCACTCTTTTGATCCAGCTCCCTTAAGTATTGCAAGAGGAATATATCAGATTGTATAATTTTTTTACTTTGCTTTATGTGTATAACCTAGAGCCACATTTTTGGGTCTAACCCAGAGGGCTTTGGAGGCTGGACATTTGTGGGTCCAACCCAGAGCACTTTGAAGTCATTTCTGCATATTAACAGTGCCATATTTTTTTCCTACAGGAGAATAATTTCCTAAGTAATTTCTACTGCTGACCACTCTTCACTCTAGTAATAAAAGAACTACAATGGGGTTTAGCATTTTGTTTTTAAATACTGGTAAACCTTGAATTAGAAATATAAACCTGTGACTATGATGGGTTATTCTCTCCTGAATATTTCTGTAAACCCTGATCACAAAAACTGTAGGGAATGTTTTCTGTAGAACTGAAATTTAGCGGAAAAAGAAAGTACATAATTAAAAACAAATTCTGGTGTTTGTACAGAGTCTGGGGGTTTTATATATGTGTATAGAAAATAGTGATTCTAAATTTATTTAAATGGATTATTATTTTACATGAATGATAAGCTGCACTTCAGAGCAACCATTTTCTAGGATTTGTTTTGTATCTCATGAAATAGTTAAAAGCAGCTTAAGCCTCCAATTCAGATGAATCAGGTGCAGGCCCTCAAGATGGAAGATTTCTGTCAGGAGTGGTGAATCTGGATTTGTAGTGTGCCCCTTGCGTCTTGCAGGAAGCACAGGTTGAAATCCCCACTGAAGCTGCTGGGAGTTTTGTTTCTGACTTCTGTGGGTTTAGAACTTCACTGTAAGGATTTTTAGGTACTTTTTAAAAATGAAAAGGTGACCTGTTTAATACTGACCCAAATAATTCACTGCACAACTTCTGTCCTCCTCAAATTCCCACTCGCAAGCCCATAAACTGAAAGAAAAACTGCAGGAAAGTAAAAGTCTGGATTTCAAGTGAGAAAGCCACTTGAGATCTCTTCACATCACACTCTGGCTGGTTATTCCGGGTAGCAGAAGTGGCTGAGCTGGAGCTATTATGATCCACAGCACTTTGTGAGGAGTGGGGAAGCAGAGACAGAAATGGGTGCACTTAGAAAATGCCTTGAGAAGGTTCGTGACACAAGTGACTGCAGCTCCCCAAAGGAATTGGCACCACGGCACACTCAGCACTGCTGGGCCCTTTGAAAGGGGAGTTAAAAAAAATCCACTGTGGGATGCAATGAAAGCACTGATTCTGCCAGTGAGAAAGTAATCCCAGGAATTCATCAAATTCTTGCCACAGTCACACCCAAACGGATGGCACCGAGTCTCTTCTTTGGGTTTTGAGCTCTTCATTTCTGGAAAACAAGAAAACTGAATGAAATACATGAAGATCTAGGATTGCAGAACAGGGAAATTGAATTAGTTTGTCACAGGATTTTTTTTTTTTTATTGACATCTTTATTTTGTTTTGATGTCTGTAATTAAATCACTAATTATGTGTTTCTATTGCAGTGGTCATGCTTTTATTACATAATTGCTACAAGTTTTTCTCTCCCCACTAACAATATTTGTTTAACCTTAGTGCATGCTATTTACATCCTTCAGAATGGAAAAGCTTAGAAACAGTGTTATTGATTGTTACAATTAACTAAATCAGAAGGGCTCAAAGTTCTTTGCCATAAATTAAATACATTTTGTGGCACAGGATCAAAGATAATTAAAGGATGAAGCAATTGCAGTCATTAAACAATAAATATTATTTTTATGCCAATTGAAGAAAATAAAGCAGCAACCAAAAAAGGCAGGAAAACAGAGGAATTTTAAAAGGAGGGGAGAAAAGTTTAGCCTAGGGTAAAAACATCATTTAAAAAAATAATTTTTACTGTGATCCTTTGAGCTTCCTTCTGTGTTGTCTCAAAAAGCATCTGATTAGGTGAGATGCAATTCAGTCACCTTCTCTTTTTTTTTCCCTTTTGAGTTTAGGCATAATTTTTGTCAGTATATTTCAATGTATTCATTAATTTTTCTCATTTGTTTATTTTATGCAAACCATAAGAGACATTTTTTCCTCAGTGAAGATTGCCTCTTTATTTTATTTTGAAATATTTGTATATTTATTTCATTAAATGAGATAATGCTTTTTCTTATTAACATAATTTCCAGTACATTAAACATATTTCTCCACAGACAGAAGAGAGGAATCAGATTAAATGACAGTTAAATCACTTGCAGCAATTTCAACTGTTAAAAGAAATAAGTGTCTCTGTTTTCTTTGTGATCACGAGATGTGCTGTAAAGGGAAATGAAATACTAAAGAAAGGAGGGAAAACATAAAGAAATAATGACTGACTTATTGCAGTAATACCACTGAGAGAAGAAAAACTCACTACAAATAAAAGGAAAAATAATATAGTGCTTTTGAAAGTTACCAAAATTCATTTCTTATTGATGAGATCAGTGTGAGCCTTATACTGAGTAAACTGAGGAGGGGAAAAAAATAGCAAAGCACACCCAAAGCCAGACAATACCATAAACTGTGGGCAATGAAAGATGGAATAAATACTGTGCATTTGGAGGGCTGTTACTCTAAATGCCTCTAATTTTTTAATAATTTATATTTCATCACATTTAGGGAAGAGAGGGAAGCAGAAATTATCTCCTGGTGAGCCAACCATGCCCCTCTGCTGCTGTGTTCAGGGCTCTCCAAATGTCCAGGTGTCCATCCTGCAGCTCCCTCCCCTTTTCTTGGGCAGGTGTGGGGCCGCAGGAAGGAGAAAAGCATCTTTTATTAACTCTTTTAATAAGATCTTCCAGAATTATTATTATAATATTTTCTGTCTTAATTATATTTTTTTATTATTGTAATTTCTAGAGCCTGAACCAGCTGCTTTGAAGAGATCTTGGGACTGAAGGACTGAGCTGAGGCATTTCTAAGGTAATGTTGATATTACTATTTTGCCCCCAGTCAAGATTTCCTCTGTGCTTTTAGCTGTAAACCAGTTATTTTTCACCAATTTTGTGTGCCTGATTTTTTAATCATGAGTAAGGACTAGTCCAATAGTTGCCATTTTCCTTATTTTTCTCAGTTTCCTGTCAGTGCACTCTACAGCCTCACTGATTTCAGCTTCAAGCTCAAATCAGAGAAGGGATTCTTAAGAAGGGAGACCTTTCTAAGTCCCTGCTCTATCTCAGAGTTAACTAAAATGATAATTTTTCAAGAATTTATATGCCAGTATTTTTGCTGTTAAATGCTTGATGAGGAAAAGTGGTGCCATGGGGTGCAGCATCCTCCTTATGTGATGTGGTGCAGGGAGAGAGTTGGAAAATGTCACCTTGTAAGGCTTTTAAGGAATTGTTTCCTGGGGCTGGAGAGCAGGCTCTGCATTCCTGCTTGTGCTGATCTGCTGCAGCTGGGCAGGGGATGCTGCAGGGTCACCACCAAAGACGTTTGCACGTTGGGGTTGGTGTCCCTTGGGTCTCCTTTGGAAGTTGTATTTGCTGTGCCAAGGGGCCTGGTTGGGCAATGGAGGTGGTAATGGAATTTAGCAGTTGAAGAAACTGAAAAATCACAGAGCATGTGAAATGTAATTAAAAAAATAAACCAGGAGCATCTGCCACCATCCTCTGCGGACACCCTGCCAAGCAGAGTCACATCTGTGTCCCTGGAGGGGCACCAGCCCAGCCCTTGCTCACAGATGCTCCAAAGCCTCTGGTGGGCACAGGCCAAGGGTCACTCCAGGTTCTGCCACAGGATCCCTGCCCAAGGAAGTTCTGCACAACAGAGAGAGCTGGTAAGTGGAACTCAATGCACAGAAACATTTCTAATGGTGGTGATCATACTTACAGCCTTCATTACCACATTTTCAGGGGGCATAATAATCATTAATGTGTTTATTGTGACCTTGTGAGTTGGGGCAGGGATGTTATTCTTTCTCGCACACATGGAACTGAAACGTAGGCGGCTCCGTGCTCATGCACTGAGCTCCAGCTTGTGTGGGAGGGCTGCCAGAGACCTGCTCCTGTTTTGTGGCTTTTCCTGCAGGATCCTGACCCTTCTCCATGGCTTTAGGTTCTTATTCAAGGTGTCTAAATAGGAGATGAGTTGTGCTGGGTTTCCTCTGCATTCAATAAAGGGAGACAGGGATCTCCAAAAGCAAATTCTGACCTCCTCCCAATTGGCTTTGGAGGGTGCCTACAAAACCCGCCTGCCTCATTGAAACACATTAAGAGAGACTTTTGCATCTTTCCGCTCTGGACACTCACTAAGGACAAGATTCGGTTCAAAGCCACCATGAAACAGAACATTTCCCTTTTTGCCTCTACTGAAGAGGCCCAGCACAGCTGTAATTAACTTTTGAAGATCCTTCATGGTGCTTACAAAATGTGACTGCAACTTAGAATGTCACAGGAGGGGCAGAAACAAGCAAATTAAAAGTTACATTGATGAGGCGTGAGGTTCAGTGAACAGATGTCCCGCACTGAATTTTGTTGCAATCCAGTCATCCTCTAAATACCTGTGAAATTCTTAGCTCTGTGAACAATTGTCCTTTTTGGTCTCACTGTGAACAATTGTCCTTTATGGTCTCAGAGGTGGAAAGGTAGGATGACCCAAACCTTCTCTATGTTCATTTTAGACTTGAGTTTTTAAAATTTTGAGTAAAATCTTAGCTAAGCATTTTTAAAGAAACTGTTTTAAAATCAGGTAGATGATGAGAGGAATGTCTTTCAGAATTTACCAAGTTTATATTTTGCATATTCCATACCGAGGCTGTTTCTTTTCTTGTGACATCGCAAAAAATGAAATTAGTTTTTGACTGGGAGGGGATGATGATAAAGGTGTTCTCAGAATAACATGATTTAGCTTTTGGGAAATATTAAAGCATGACTACGTTGGACCTTTTTATGTCAGATAACAGCAGTTTTTCCATTCCGCACTAAATACTCCTTTCAGATTTCTCATCTTGCATGATATTGCCTATTTCATGCCTCCAACAAAGTGGCTGAAACAAGCTCTTTCCCCAAACTCATGATATTTGTGGATAAAGGATTATTACCTGTGGTATTTTTTAAACAATGAATAAATTACAGCATTGTTTGAGCAGATGCAGACAAGGTGTTGGGTTTCTTGTCTGATGCCACAGCAAGGCTTTGTGTCAGAGTTCAGAGCATTGTGCTTGGATCACTACATTTAGCATCTAATAGGTCTGGAATATACACTGGAATATTTTCTTATTCTGTTTTTCATATAGTATTTTGGCTGAATGTCCTCTTCCATTGTCACATGGCAATATTTTAAAATGAGTGAGTAAATTCTCTTATTTAGAGGGTACTCAAATTCATCACTATCTTGTTGTTGTGGACATGCATGGTGGCACTGCCATTCCATGCTCCTGGGTTTTGGCAATAATGTACCTGCCTTTCTTGGAGAAAGGAGAGCACACCAGGCTCATGGGAACACTTCAGTGCAGAAGGGTGCCTTGGGAATTGTGCTTCTCCTGACAGCATTGGAGAAAGCCGAGTGAGACTTGACTTTACTATTGGGTTTGGTGGTTGGTTCTTTGTTTTTATTTGTCACGATAGGAATGGCAAAATGAGTGAGAAAAAAAATAAGGTTGATTGCTCTTCAGAGAAGACCTTAGACAACAGAATTTCTCCATTTCAGTGACTCTGGTACATGTCTGACTTGATTATTCCTGTCCTGTTGAAATATGAGGCAGCTGGACAATATCTTGACTGAAATACATTGGAGGAATATGGAAATGCAAAGTGCAGCTTTTGTGAAAATCAGAATCTCTGTTCCCTTTATCTATACCTACACTTGTTGATTCTTGTGACTGTGATGCAATTGATTATCTCTAAAGATGATTCTCCCTGAGGTGTGAGGACTGCACCTTTCCCTAATAGATGGCAGATCTCATCCAGTTTCTTCCAGACTTGAGGCAGTTCAAGGTTAGAATTTTTAACTTTTGTTTTGTTTGGTGTTTTGTTTTTCCTGTGGCTGTCAGTTCAGTTTTATTTTCCAAAATAAAATTCCAGGGGAATGCTGTAGCATCCTCTGAAGGCATTCAGCCACTCTGTTCCTGAGTGCACCTCACACTCAGCCCAGCTTTCTGAGGACGTGAGGTTCAGTCTGTGGTCTGTTCCTCTTCTCCCTGCAGTGACTTTGGCATTTCTAAACCTGTTTGCAGAGCAGAGGAACATCTCAAAGTCATTATGTTTTATGAGTTGCATAATTACCAGTGTCTGGATATGGGATGGGGATACCTCAGTGAGGAAAACATGGACAGGGCTCATTTGATGCCATTTCTCTCTGTTGGCAGCAGCAGTGGGACACACCAGAGCATTCACTGCTGTCCTTTGCATGATGAGGGGCATGAGGTGGTGTGACAGAACAAAATGTGATCATGGCAAACCAAGTTTCAGTAGTTCTCTTGCTTTGTGAAATGGATAATTGTTTCTTTTTATGGGGATTTAAATGGAAAAAGTGGCTTAGATGGGAAGAAAAAAAGATCTCTACATACAGTTTCTCTTGATACTTCCAGCAAATGGGAACATAATAAAATGATTGTGTTTCTTGAAAAAATGTTGGTTAAATTTAGCTTTGTTTTCTGCTTAAAAAGGGGAGGGGGTGGAGAGATAATAAATGTCATTTGAAAATAGAAGTGTCCTCGGTTTCCTGTTTTCAGTAGGCTTAAGATAATTCATTTGTTCTACTTGTAGTTTGTCAATTGATGCCTCCCTTCCAAAACTGTCTGTGGGTCGCCTTAGCCAGAGTTTCCTACAGTTATTTTTGCACTATTGTTAAACAGAACCATGCAGCATGTTGCTTTTTCAATTTACTGCGTGGGATCTGCACATAGTTTTCCATTGTGGCATATTTGTGTCTTTGTCACTTTTATTGTTTATATGCCAGCATATGGCCAGAAAAAAACAAACTTCTTTCTTCAGTTTTCTTCTTTTGTATTGTTTAGTCCACAGTGCCTTTACAGCAACAATTTGTAAAAATCAAATTCATGGAATGTAATCGGTCTGCTTGAAAAAAGAAGAAAGTGGGGAGAATACATCTCAGGGATTAATGCATGTTTAGGAATGGCTATATTTTCCTACCCATGGAAATGGCTATATTTTCCTACCCTTTTTTGCACATAGGCCAAAAAAGCCAATGCCTGTTTTTATTTAAACTTCAGTTTGATCATTTAGGCTCATATATCTCACCATTCCACTTGCACAGACATTAGTGCCTATATCAAGATCTTCTCTAGAGCAAGCATCACCAAAATCTACCAGCATGGATTTCAGTGCCTGACAAGGACCAGATGTTTGCATTTGTGGGATATGGAACCACAAACCCAGCAGCTGTCCAACTGTTTCTTTATTGCCGTTATCTAAAATTGTCCAGAAATACATGGGGGTTGAGTTTGTTTTTTTAACAGTACTGACAGTGTAGTTATTGTTTTGTTCAACTTTGAGGTTGTAGAAATACCATTTTTTATTAATTTCTGTGTGGCATCAATGCTTACATGACACCCTGATAAAGACAAATTCTTGGTTTATCTACCACTAAAGATCAATACAAACTAGGCCATATCCATGAAGTTATCAGCTCTGTCATTCCATAGATTATTGGCATCCACTGGCACATGGTTTGGCTGTAATTTGAGGCAGGAATGTTGCTGTTAGCACGACTCCTGAAAAACAGAAGTTAAATTTTAAAGCAAAATAATCATTCACTTGCAAAACTCTGTTTTCTTGTCAATGCACTTCCAATGTACCACATATTTTTAGCAGTAACTAAAGACCAGTAACCAGTTTGAAATCCCATACAACAGATGGATCATGATAAATGCACGATGTTGGCTTCTCCTGGATTTTCCATTTGTTGGAAGTTGTTGCACACCACACAACCTACCACGTAAAAGCCTGTTGGAAACAAAA